CAACTCAATGGTGAGCCCCTTATGTGCGGCCGTTGGCGGGGGTGACGGTGTTGGGCGACCGCTCGCCCTTCCACTCCAGAAATAGGAAAGCAGTTCCGGCGCCGTATGCGATGAAGTTTAGTAAACCAAACACCTGTTCGTTAAATAAATCATAAATCATTCACTTTGTGTCGACTAAATCGATCACCAATTTATGCTTTCATAGGATATTACTTTGTTAACGATAATAATACTTTTGAGCACTTTTTATACTCATTGTATGGGCGCTTAGCAACTGATGATTGACTGAACCCTTACAATAGGACTAATATTCATTGTAATAATAAATTGGTATTTTATGATCAACACTAAATTGGCCTCAAATACGATTTACATCTCTAAATATTATCAAAATATCATGTATTAATAGCTTTAATGTAAATTCCATAGAGACTCAAATGACTTTTTTACTAAATATAAAATATTCTGTTTAACAGTGGAATTGAACATATTTTTAAAAAGTATAAATATTTTGCTTTTGAAAAATTATTGTGAATATATCGCAAATATTGTAACCAATTATTTCTATCTGTTTATATAAAAGAGACTAATTCAGTAATAAATTCATTGGATGACTAGTACTGTAATGAATTAGCATGAAAAACAAATAAATCATCGTTGTTTGAGTTTATGTCTAAACATTTGCTGTATTGATGCGTAAACTGAAACAAATATAATGTGAGAATATATACTCCGGCGGCGATGTAAGTGCCGAAAAAGCTGGTGCCTAAGTAACTGCTATAATAGGTCAGTGCGTATCGATAGTCAGCCCTCGCGGTCAATGAGAGGTGAATGATAGCTGTGATGAATAGCGAAATCGTCACGATTCCGGTGTAGACCAACTCCTGACATAACAATTGAAATTTGTTTGTCATTACTTGCAGTCATCGCACGAAATTCGCAAATGTCGTCATACTTACTGCAAATATCCAATTGAATTTTGGGAAAACAATATTCTTAAGGGTTACCAAATAACAAAAACATAAAATCAATGTTAAGGCGAAAGATATGGCGATTACGGCTGTGAAGAGTCGAGAGAACCACTGAAGGAATAAACTTATGTTTTAATCATTTAATCTAATAATATAATTTTATTTAATCTCAACTATGTAGATTTGTTAATTAAAATAATTTAATTCATTTTAGAAACTACTTTGTATAATATAAAATTATTTATTATTAAAAAATTACTGAATATTTGAATATTTATTTTTTACAGAATTAAGTTTACTAGTATAAAATTATGCTGTCGGTTTTATTAATTAATAAATATTCAGATTTATTGTTAATTTAATTTATAACTACTTTATAAAATACAAAAATTTTAATTAAATTAAGTAAAAGTCAAACAATCTTACGGTGAGTGGAGGTGAAACACAAGCCATGCATATAATTGAAATTACCTTAAGTTGGAAAGTTGTTATAAATAATAATCTTTCTTTTATATCATTTAAACGATT